TATATATATATAGAGAACTTTCTATTCATCAAAGAATCCACAAAAATATTAAGCAGCACAACTGTTTTGAACAATGATAATAAGAAGAAATGTTTTATGAACAGCAAATCAGCATATTAGAATGATTTCTGAAGGACCATGTGACACTGAAGTAATGGCTCCTGAAAATTCAGTTCTTTTAAATCGTAATTAAATCTGAAAGTTTTACTGACCCCAGACTTTTGAATGGTAGTTTGTAATATTCACAAAAACTTTTCATCTGCAGTTACAACTCTGCAGAATTATAAAAGAAATGAATACAGTGTGTCCCAAAATATGCGAGACCAAATATCTCCAAAAAAAAAAGACTGCAAAACTACACTGTAGCAGTGTACTTTGAGGTAAATGAAAATCAGACCCAAATCAGTTCAAAACCAACCCACTGTTCTCATATCTGCACCACAGGCTCCTCACAGGCATTCATGAGAGGTCTTTAGTGTGCTGTGAGGGGCTTGATGGGTGTGTTTTGTTCCTACTCCAAGTCTTTTGAAATAACAATTGTCTCTGCATTAAGCTGTGGGCCTCCTCCGAGGAAATTCGGTTTTCCAGACTGACTCACTATATGGTTATGTAGTCAGCAACCTGAGAGCTTGAGCGTCTGTGATAGTGCCATGCAAAAGGTCTGGAGACAATTAAATGTGCAGTAAATGGGGCAAGGGAAATGTCCTAATAAACACTGGGCAGTAAGATCATATTTCTGATCTGTTTAACCATGTATGATTTGATCTAGTGCAGTGGTGGTCAATTCTGATCCTGGCACTGCACATTTTAGATGTCTCCCTTATCTGACACACCCTGTTCGGGTCCTGGAGCCTCTACTAATGAGCTGATGGTGTGTTAAATAAGGTTCAACTGCTTTGGTACTCAAGAACCAGGACTGACAACCACCGATCTAGTGAAAACAAACTGACCAGTCTTTGCAATAATCTGCAGGTCATTCAAGTGTCTCCCACTGACATCTTCAGCACTAACCAGTTCATCTATCGACTTACCATTCACCCCTTACACTTCATCATTTGATCATAAACATTGTCCATAAATAAATGTGACAGACTGTCTGAGCCAAACCTGTTTAAGCCACCAAGAGAAATATATTGGAGCCAGGAAGACAGAACAATGCTTTCTGATGAAAAACTGGCCATAAACTGCAGTGCGGCACCCACCACTAGCATCTTAAGAAAATATTTCATGATATGTTGATGAATATTTTAAACACATCTGCTTTACGCGGAGCTTACCCGGGGGCAGTTACCACATGATTCTGAGAAAATGATCATGTATGAGAGCTGTAACAACGTAACAGCCTGCTACATAAACTTACAACACCTTCTGCAACAAGCATCTTTGTTTTATGTATATATAAAAACCTCTGTCATTTTCCATTTCAAACAACTTTTTTTTTTTCAAAATAAAGAAATAAATATAACAATAACACTTCATAGTTTTTGCAAATACTGCAAGCATCTTTATGATAAAAACAGTACATTTTCAATGAAGAACAGCTCAAATAGAAACAAATAAAATAAAAAATAAATGTATTTTTTTAATTCATTATTTGTAAAAAATCATAAATTAAATAAAACTAGCATGCAGTGATTCAGCACAAGATTATATTATTCTAATTTTTATTATTATTTATTTTTATTTAAAGGGGAAATATTTAAGTATAACTTATGTCTATTTAAAAACAGCAGGAATCTTTTTTTTTTTTTAAATCTATTTTTAAGTATAAATATTTTTCAAATCAAAATTCAACTTATGTATATTTAAAAAGGAATAAAAGTTCTAAATTGCACTTACCCCGTTTAAACATGTTGGATATTGTTAATTCTCTGTCTGTCCACTCAGGTTCATTTATTCTTGTATTCCAGACTTCACACTGTCAGTGTGAGATGCCAGGCGATCTAACAAACGTTGTCTGATTTAATCAGAATACATAAATGTATGTACTCCTATAGCTCAGATGAGACTTCTCGCTGAATTTCAATTTGGCTAATTTATTGCAGTGCTGATGTCCATTTCATCCTGTGTGGTCCCGAGCAAATATTTCACTAGATGCAATTGAGAGCAGTCCAAAAGGAGAGGAACACATTCTGCAGTATTAATTGTCATCCAGTGATTAAGCAGGGGCACCTGGTGGTGTAGTTCAGCTCTCAGCGACCCGCACGAAACAAGCAGTATTGTAGTATGTTATCCAGAAAAGCTCTAAAAGCTCTTATTGCCAGAAACTGACGCGTTTGAGAATCGGTTATCCCTCTAAAACACAGATTGTTGGGGAAAATCAGCAGATGGTCCTCAATCCGTGCCGCGGCAACTCTGGTGTCGGTCTCTCGCGCACTCTTCAGAGAGACTCTACGCCGAACTATGGGGAGGTGTCCCGCTGCCTCCATACAAAATCTCCAACAATCCACCTTATTGAAAGCATTTCGTCCAGATATTTCGGGTCTCGGGACATGGACAAATCACACATATGAGCCTTACACCTTCACATATCGCGCGATGTGAGTGAGTGGCGGAATGGACAGATGATGCGCTGCAGCTGAGAGATTCAAATGTTTATTTTGTCATCATTTGCTATATCCAGTAAAGTAAACTAAAATATTGAAGGGTGATTGTCAAAAATCGGTATTTTCTGCAAGCTTTTTTCAAGATCAGTTTAGATGTCTTTCCAAAAAAGGACACGTAGAAACTCCAAAAGGACACCAAAGAACCAAATGATAAGGAGCCCATATAAGAACATATGAAAGAAAAAAAAATCTGAATTTTATATGATGTGTACAGTGCAACAGCAAAGAGCTTTTTTACATTTTAGAGAAGTCAAGTTGCGATACCGAAGAGGACCACATGGAAATGAGAAATAAAAACCTAACCAACCGCCTGCTGACTGAATATATCTACTACAGTACACTGGTCCATTCAGTATAACTAAACACAGCAACATAATCATGACAAATCAAAATATTATCGTGAACGTGTGTGGAAACAACGTGAATGTACGGAAATGTCTGTGCCTAAATACAATGTGCGATCAGTGCATCAAGAGCACTCATACACGCATTACTATAACGGACTCACGTGTACTTAGTACTGTACGACTCCTGTACGACACCGCAATCGTCTTTACCTTGATTGCAGTCTTCATCTATCAAAACTTTACTAGCGAGACTGGTTATCCAGTCGAGAAAACGTAGGTTGCGTCTCATCTGGCCATACAGCGGTGGGATGTGTTAAAGGGGTCATATGACGTTGCTAAAAAGAACATTATTTTGTGTATTTGGTGTAATGAAATGTGTTTATGCAGTTTATGGTTCAAAAAACACATTATTTTCCACATACTGTACATTATTGATTCTCCTCTATGCCCCGCCTTTCTGAAACGCGTCGATTTTTACAAAGCTCATTGTTCTGAAAAGCGAGGTGTGTTCTGATTGGCCAGCTAGCTAGTGAGCAGTGATTGGCCGAATTGACGGAAATGTTACGCCCCTTACCATACTGTGATGCCTTGTCCCGGCGCAACGAGACAAAACCAATAAAACCCATTATAAACGAGGCATTTGTTGCATCCAGTGGGGACATAATTACTGATTATAATTACTTATACTGTCTTTTTACGTGTTGCGTTGCATCGTGCCGCCTAAACATAAAACCATGTCTGCATTTGTGATCGGAGAAATGACAAACAACAAGCCCTACTCTACACTGCCCAAAAAACTCACTTTAAATATA